TCTTGTTTTAGCCCACTAAGCAACCCTTGAGTTTGTAGTTTGGCAATGTGCTTATTAAGAGACTGCATTTTGGAGGAATAAGAGTATAATTATCATTGGTGTGTATTTTTTTTTCCTTTCTTAGAGAGAGATTTTTGCTATAGGACGCATGTGCTTTCCAGAGAGACTGAAAGAGAAAAATCACCCCCGCAGAGGGCATGAGTTTTAAGCCTCCAAGTCGAGACTCAAACCTTAGTTGACTACGTGGGAGTCCAGTGATATAATCATTATGCTATCTGCTGGTCCACCATTGCTATATTCTTTTTATCTAGAGTTGCTATGCATCTTGATAATAGTTTTTCTCTAATACACTTTGCAGTTAAGCTGTGTCAGAAGGCAAATGAGTAAAGGATTGTATATGTTCATTCATGTATTGCCTGTGTACACATACAGGCAATACAAACTTGTCTGTGGGAGTGAGAGGAGGGACGAAGAGAGAAAGAGAGAGAGAGAAGAGAGGAAATCTGTCCTAGTACTCTTGAAAAGGGTGTTCAGGCTCCTTGGTGATCATGAAACGAGACTTTTTTTTTATTTCTGATAAATTTCAATTATAATTACAGACCATTGGTAAGCCACATTAAGTCCCAAGGGCTGGATCAAAAATATACCCATCCTGGGACCAGCAGTTAACGTAATGGCTATGTCACTGGACTCCCATGTAATTAATGGCGGTTCAAGTCCCGGACCTGGTGTCTTAAACTCATGCTGGGCGCATGTGCGTGCATGCCCAAGATCCAGAGAGGAGAATGGAGGAGAAGGAATTATGGCATGGCCATCCCTCCTGGGGGGTGATTTCTTGCTTTCTGTCTCTCTGTTTTTCTGGTGAGTGCACACACTCTATAGCAGAAACCTCTCCAAAAAAAAAAATAATAATATTCATCTACAGAAGTCATTTGAATTATCTCTAAAAAACATAGTAGCTGGAACAGCAGAGAGGGTGGTAATGGTTACATCTCTCATGTACTCGACCACAGTTTGATTCCCAGACTCGGCAGCTTAAAACTCAGGCTGGGCAAATGTGCATGCATACACAAGGTCCAAAAAGGAGAATTGAGGAGGAGGGATTGTAGCATGGCCAAGCCCCTGAGGGGTGATTTCTCACATTCTGTCTCTCTGTCTCTCTGGTGAACACATGCACCCTATAGCAAAAATCTCTCTAAAACAAATATAGTAGCTTACTATGGAATCAAGTTGTGAACAGATATCAACTGTTGGTGGTTGTCCATTAAAATTAGCTGTTATACTGCTAAGGGCCAAGTTTTAAAAGTGATATGAATGACCTGTGGTTAGATCCAATGTGCCACTCACTTGCTGTTTTGTTGTAGAAGTGAATGACAGAAATTCAACTTTAAAGATAAACAGTTTTTGATTGGGTTCCAAGAGAATAATGGTGCTTTTGTAAAATTCTTGAAATAGATCCTACAGCTGCCCCAAACAAAATAGTCTCTTTCAGGATCTTAGAAATAATGACATCATAGGCAGATTGAACCAGCAAGCCATTAATAGTATCCTTTGTAGAAAGCTGTCTCAGAGGAGGACCTGGCTTAGTAAATTGGCATTGTTTACAAACATATCATTATAGAATACCTTTTTTTTTCTACATTTGTGGAATAGTAGGAGATACCTCCCACTCAAGAAACAAACTCATTAATGGCAAGGCTCCCAATAGTTCCCTACCCTTTCTCTACTGCTCTTAAAATGTGCTTTGAAGCACTAGCTTTGAAAATAAGTTGAAGATAACAAAAATTTCTCACATTATTCTTTTGTTACCAAATCAGAATTATTTGGAATCATTAGAAGAAGATGAGGATTCAATGTATCTTGTAAAAGGTACAAAAAAAAAAAAACTGAAGTAATAAAAGTATAATTCAAGTCAAACAAAATCTGAAATGTCTAGGTAAATAGATTATTTGTTCCTGTTTTACCAAGTTTGTGTTGACCTACATATAAGTCCTTTAGTTTCACTTCTGTATCTATAAAAGGTTTATTTCAACTCTTCTTATAATCTCCTGACGAGTTAAATGAACTTGAAATAATTCCAGTTTGGTGGGCAGTAGAAAGAAAGATATGCCATATAAGTTAGATCCTTTGCAGAACCCCTGTGTTATTGTCTACAGCAAGTGTGTGTAGTGGAAATTTTAGTCAGAAATTTCTAGTGCAATACAGAATGGTATAGTTTTTTCTTTCTTTCTTTTTATAGGGCACATGCGCTCGCCAGAAAGACAGAGAAAGACAGAGAGACAGAAAGCAAGAAATTACCCCCCAGGGGGGTGGCCATACTGCAATCCCTTCTCCTCCAGTCTCCTCTCGGGATCTTGGGCAAGCACGCACACATGCCCGGTGTGAGTTTAAGCCACCGGGTCTGGGACTCGAACCGTGGTCGACTACATGGGAGTCCAGTGACATAGCCATTACGCTAACTGCTGGTCCTTAGTTTGGGTTTTTATATCCCAAGTATTTCTTTCTTCTCAACCTAAAATATAGCTGGGCAAATAAGGCCAAGGATAACAAGGCAGCCTAAAAGGAATCAGTGCATCTCTGGTCAGAGTGACCAATTAGGAACAAAAAAGGCCACTTTGTTGTTAGCCACATCTATTTATCAAGAACAAAACAGCATAGTATTTTGAATTCTGTAGTTTCTCTAGAATCCTAAGACACTTGCCTTATTTTGCAAGATCAGGTTTGTATATTATTTAAAAGGGGATTTGCAGGTTTCTCTGACTTCTGTCATCTCAAGTTAAGTTGTATGTCCTCAAAAAATATATGTCATCCAGAAAATGGTGGCTCTGTCTCTGTGAGTCACGTTTTTCAGAAATCTGTCTTCTTGGTGTTTCTATTTAAATGTTTATTTCCTTTGCAATAACTTCCAATTTATTTTTTTTAACAAGATAGGTTTTGTATATCAAGATTTATGTAATAGTCAGGTCATATTTGGGTATTAGTTTTGAACTCAGAAAAGTGAAACAAACTAATAAAGAAAAAACTAGTGTGTTGTTTCTGGTGGTAAATTCTCCTCAGTAGCTAAATTTAAACCATAAACCTATCCAGTGCATATTAATGCCATTGATGTAGTCTGTACTAAACTTACTTTTCTCTTTTGAGAAACTGAATTTAGAAGGGTCAAAAGTCAAAATCCAAAAGAGAGTGTAGACACATTAGCACTGGTTCCATATTCTAATTAAAATACTTGCTAGTAACAGTAATATCTATAAATGTATTTTGTCGTTGACATCACAGTTATTTTTTTCACCATACTTCCTGCTGCGGTTTCACATGAACTGGAAAACATGAGGCTTATCAAATGATGACAAAACAGTTATTACTACATATTTTCACTATCATTTTTATTCAAAAACAAATCTGCAAAGAGAAAAAAAGTAGAATTGGTCTTAGTTCATTAAAATGATGCAAGACATGACACTTAGGCAAACAAAAGGGAGAGTTCTTGTCTAAATCAAGATCAAGCCAACCGTTAGTTGGCAGTCACCTATGCAGATGGACAAGCTGTTAATTCTAACTATTCTTGAATAATTATAGACTATATATTTGAGAGAATTTGGAACATAGTAAATTATTTAAAAATTTTTCACATAATATGATATAGCTTAGAGTTCACTACAGAAAATAAAAAACATAACCAGTAAATGGCTAAAAAGAATTATGATAGATTATTTCTCATTTCAAAAGTTAATGAGGAGACCCCTGCTTTTCCTGTTATACTTAGGTTCATTCATAGTAAATATTGTTGGAGTAAAGTGATAAGCTAAGTCCTATTTAGAGAGTTCTTATGTTCCTAAATTGGTGCCAGGTAACACTTGATAAATTTACAGAGATTTTGTTATGATAGGATTTTATTTTCCTTGTATTCAAACTGGGGATTTACTTGGAAGGTACTCTTCACAACTAACTTGTGGTCAGGGTCAAATGGAAAGACTTGGATTAGAGCAGAAAAACATCTGGACACAAACATTTCAACAAGGAGTCCATGTTTTTCTGGTTCTCTTTACCTTTCCAGTGAGATAAAACTCAAATGTCTTAGACCTAGACATAAGATACTAAAAAGTAATGAAATTAAGAGCAAATGAGCTTCTAGAACCAAAACTGAATCTTCTAACCTGGTTACCTCTAACCACCTTGAAATAGAGCCCACAGCTGCCCCAAACAAAATAGTGTCTTTCAAGATCTTGCAAATATTTATGTCATAGGCCGACTGAACCGACAAGTTTTGTGTCCCGGCACCTAAAGTTTGATAAGGGGGTAAGGTTATGATGTCTTCTCAGGAAGTGAACCTCTCCTTTGGATCTCCTCTTTGCTCATAGTGACATTTGGTCCACTTATATCTTCTACTTGCTTGGGAGAAGACAGGGTAATGTTTGCCCTAACAGCACACCCTGATGCTGCTGAAACTGCCAGGTAAATGGAATGGCTTCTCAGTGTATTACCATAAAAACAACAGAGTGCATTTTGTAAATCAGGCACATACACATGAGAAATGTGCCAAGGACAAACCAATGTTAAAGAGGCTAACAAATCATTGTTGTGAGCTGTTCAAAATTGTCAAACTTGTGTCAGTTCCACATTCTGAGGATGTTGTACCACCCTGACCATGAAATTAATCAAGATAGTATTTTTATAGAAGAAAAATTATTAATTGTTCTTTCCACAACCATGAATGAACAGTAGATTTCATTTTAGGAAAAGCCAGGAAACTTACTTGTTTGAATATACGTATTGAAAAGCCATTTATTGTTGCTTCCCTTTTTTGGGAAATTGTATAGTTGCTTTGGGGAGGCAAATCCCTTCACTCCAGAAGAGAAATCCCCAAAATGATCCACACAAAACCTGAGAATACCTGAGACTAATTCTTTTGTTTCTAATATATGACAGCCCCTATATTTACTAGTAATTATTTTTTAGACCTTTCCTTCCTTAGTTCCTGTTTTCTCCTCTTTTTTCTTTAGGAGCTGTGAAATCAGTTGTAACTGAAAATGTCCGACGGTCTGGATAATGAAGAGAAACCCCCAGCTCCTCCACTGAGGATGAATAGTAACAACCGGGATTCTTCAGCACTCAACCACAGCTCCAAACCACTTCCCATGGCCCCTGAAGAGAAGAATAAGAAAGCCAGGCTTCGCTCTATCTTCCCAGGAGGAGGGGATAAAAGTAAAGTATCAGTGGCCCGGCATTGAAAAGGGGCTAGTTTACTTTTTCATTATCACTTTCTTTTTTGGGTAGTCATTTCTTAAGCATTGGCTGTTCAGGGCCCGCCTGATCTTCACATCTACATTTTCGAAGGTTGCATTTTGTCAGAGGATAATGTTTGATTGACTTACTGTGGGCTGACAAGAAATATATTTCTGCTATGTTTACTTTTAACATAAAATTGAATTCCTAGTGTTAAGTCAGGGGAATTCATAGTAATGGTACTGTCTTGAATATAAACAGTGACTTACTTTCTGATAACTTAGAGAAGAATTTACAGTAATCCCTTTCTAACTGTAAGTTGTCCTTTTTGGATATTTGAATATAGATAGATATACTTTTGTATACATTTTTGGTAACTGTGAAGATTCTTAATTGAGTATATGGGAGTTAGGCAGAGATTAAATCACAAGGTGGGAAGAATCTTCTGAGTCATTTGTTCCCTCTCTCATTCTTCTACCAGTTGTCCTTTATACAGTCAACTCATGTGCACTGAGTATCACAACAATGTATTATCATTTAACCTTGTGGTGTTTATAATACCATTTGGTGCTTAAATACCATATGCTAACACTTTGTGACAGTTGAGGATATGAAATCTCTACTAAGTAATTGTCAGTTTGCATTAATTACCATAACGCTGAAATGTAGCTTCTATAGATGTGACTACTAGAGCTGAATAAGAGCGAAGCAAGTTTGAGGCCACCAGCATCATGGAAAATTGCTAGAAGGGCAAAAAAGATGATGTCTTTAAAAGAGAAAAGGGACATTCTTGATCTGTTTCTTCAAGGTAAAACAAAGAGCTTTGTAGGTTGCATACCAAGTGTTAATGCACCCACAATTCATACCATGAGAAAGACTGAAATGTTTATTAGGGCCAGTATTGCTTCTTGTCCACCTACATGCTTTGTTCCTCATTACTCAAGATGGAAATGATGTTGTTAAACCTATGGATTGACAAGAATAGTGAAACACTTCCATGTAAAAGATGTGACTACGTGAGAATAATTTTCAAAGACAAGTTTTCAGACACTGAAGTGGATCTGGAAAAAAAAAATTTGCTGGGAGCAAGAGATATTTTGAAAATTTAAGATTTGACAGACCTGAATACCAAGTCTTATATGACAGTCCTGCATCTCCTTTCTTGTATCCACCACAATGGTAGAATGTGATTGAGGAAGGGAATTATGCACCTGCACAAACATTCAGTGCTGTTGAGTCTGCCATACTTTGGAAGCCCCTGAATAATACTATAATACTGCTTGCACTTTTTTTTTTCTGCTTGCACTTTTGAAGAGTAAGAGCCAACTAATGCTGAATGAGGTCAGCACAACAAAGAGGCTCACATTTCTGTTACATGCCAGTGCTTCAGGTGACCTCATAGTGAAATCATTGCTGCTCTACAAAAAACTATGTCAAAATCTTCTCAGGGGACAAAACTGTGCCAAGTTTCCAGCATACTGGCATGGAAACAGAAAAGCCTATATGACTCTTCTCTTCATGGAATGGATTGAACAGTATTTTCTTTTGGACGTTTGAGTGCTTCAAAGAAAAATGTCTTAACTTCAAAGTCTTGATTCTTCAGTATATTTAGTGCTTCAGATGCATTTACCAATGTACATTCTAATATTAAGATTATCTGTATAACTAGCCACATGTCTCAGATTCTTCAGTCCTTAGATCAGTGTTTGATCCAGCTATTCAAGAAGATTTATGCTAAACTAATATATAACTTTATTCAGAATCTTGCTAAGGTCCTTTGTCTGAAAATCCTAGTACATGGAATTTCCATGCCATCACTAATGCCATATTTTTTCCCCAGAGTCTTCTCTTTTTTTTTTTTTTTGGAGAGGTTTGGGTTATAGGGCACTCACTAGAGAGACAGAGATACAGAAGCGAGAAATCATCCCCCAGGGAGGATGACCACACCACAATCCCTTCTCCTCCATTCTCCTCTCGGGATCTTGGGCACGCACACACATGCACCTGGCATGAGTTTAAGCCACTGGGTCTGAGACTCGAACTGCGGTCGACTACATGGGAGTCCAGCGACATAGCCATTATACCAACTGTTTTAATAAAAGAGGCATTAGATAGTTTAAGAGATCCTGTCATTAATGCAACTGGGGAGAAGATTTGGCTAGTGATGCTGAAATGTCTTTCAGCAATCCTTCTTGAAGACAATCTAGATCAAGAAGAATCTATGGATGAGTATGGACATTTGGCACAGGAGCAATTATTGGCTAAGATTGAATCCTGAACCTGTTGACACTAATTCAGATGATATCAGACTGCTAGAGAATGACCCACTGGAGGCTTCCAGTACCCCAGAGGTGATTATAAGTGACAGTGAAGACAACTAGAAAGCTAAAGGATCAGAGACAAATATCGCTATAAACAATAAGAACCAATTTTTTAGAACAAGATTAAGACCTCGTCAAAGGAAGGAGGTTTTAATATCAAATTTTTAAATATCAAATCTTACCTGTTTCAAAGCTTGCCTGAACTAATGCTTTCTATTTTTTTTAAAGAGAGAGATACTATGATGCCTTCAAAAACAGTGACATTGGCCAGAAACCATGTTCAACAAGACTTAAATCATCAAATATCATTTAATACTGTTGTTAGATGATAAATTACCTTTGGGCAAAACTTGAAATAATTTAATTGAACTTTGTGAAGAGGTGCTAAGAGTCTTTTTTAAAGACCATATTAGGGAAGGAAAAAAACCTTAGAAATGCCTAGATCATCAAGTAGTACCATTTAATACCCTTATTGGACAGCAGATAAGCTGTCCTTAAAGTTTGAATGATTTCATTGAACTCCATATTGAAGCGCTAAGGTGTCTTCTAAAAAAGACTTGAGAAGACAGAGCACATCTTCACAAGATCCAAATAATTAAGCAGTGCTACTTAAATTCACATACTCAATTGAGCTAAAGCCAAGAGAGTTGTTAAAATTTCAGGATTAGACCTCAGTGTCTATGAGAGCATAAACATCTTTGATTTGAACTAACAGTCCACCTCCGTTCATTGCTTCTCTATCATCTCTCTTTTCCAGTATCATCTTGAATGATAAATACTTCTTCATGACCTCTAGAAGAGGTCATCTCAAGGCCTAAGTGAAAATTATGTAGAGCCTATCATTTTCACTAATTTAAACTATAGAAACTCTCATTATTTTTATGTAATATTGCTATTGTTTCACACTGTGCATAAAACTGTTTATTAGAGCTTTCAAAAGATAACTTGAGACCTCATTTTTTTCTACCCCCCCCCCCCTCTTTTTTTTTTTTTCCAAAAACCATGATTTCCTCAGCTGAACTTTTCCTGCTTTAGGATTGTTCAGGAACCTAAACCTCATGGGTGAGGAGCAGTGAATCTTTCTAAGTTCCTGCCTTTCAGTAACTGCCTCAGTAATAATGTAGTCTTGTAGTGGAAAGAGCACTAGACGGCTTTTGGCAGCCTGGTTTTACATTCACCTCTGCCTCTAATTATTGTGATTTGGGGTCAGCTACTTAGCTTCTCTGAGCCTCAGTTTCATTTCCTGTTAAATAAGGATAATAATACCTGGCCTACCTCACATATTTGTGATAATCAAATATAATGCTAAATACCATAGTGTAACAAAGTAGTAAAATCTAAAGTGCTAAATAATTGTGAGGTTTTATTACAATTGTAGCATTTTAGACCTTAATGACAACAGCAAAATAAACTAGGGTTTTTATTCTTTACTTTCTTCATATCTAGAATTTATGTATTATAGAAATGTAAAAAAAAAAAAATTAAAATCGCCCATGATTTCATAAGCCAAAGGTAACTGGGTTGAGGTTTTTCCTCCTAGTCTCTCTGTTCCTTATCATATAGAAATCAATGTCAAGAACTCAGAGAACAAAAATGAGCTTATGTAGAAAAAGATCACCCATAATTAAAAATCTCACAAACAATGTTAACATTTTGGTTGATATATTTCCAGACATTTTCTGACTATATATACATGTATATACAGTTTTACATAGTTAAGAAATACAATTTTGTATCCTTTTTATCATTAATATTTTCCTATATTTTAAAAATCTTAAATATAATATTCAGTGGTATAAAATATTTCATCATATAGTGGCTTCATGGTTTACTTAACAGTTTCCTTTTGTTGGTTATTTAGGGTTTATAAATTTTTGTCATTATAAATAATGTCACAATGTCCATTTCTTTATTTATATGAAAATATTTGATTTGTTGATAGCAGACTTTTTTTAAAGAAGAAATCTCTTTAATAGCTACATTTTATTGAGCACATGGAACTTCAAGGGATAGGTAGGAGAAAGAGAAGTAGCTGATGAAATTTCAAGATTGAGGATCTTTGTTGAACCATGCTCTAGGAACTGACTCTTGGTGTTAGAGCAATATAGACGGGATCATTTACCATTTTATGATATTTCATTATAGAAAACTTTTTAGTAATTAGACCAGTAAAAGGATGCCCTAAACAAGTAGTCTGATTTTATTTTATGGACCCCATGAAGTATGGGACTGATCAGGTTTCTCTTTTGTTGGCTACTAGAAAGCTTGGAGTCACATATGTGGTCTATACATAGCACTAGTAATGGGACTCTATGGTATGTATGTACTTTCTGTAAGCATTCTTCCAGGCTCCATTTTTTATGCCTCTCTCTTTGTGTTTTGCTTTTGTTCTTTTTTTTTTCCTTTTCCTTTCTTATCTACTTCGAATTTATGCTATCATGTTGTATTTTGTGTATTCTTGTAAGCTGCCAGACATCTAATTTGGAAAAAGGTGGGGTATAAATACATGAATGAATAAATTAATTAATAAATAAACTGATAATGAAAAGGCAATGGGGCAAACACATATGGCCAGGACTCTGAAAATGGCAAAGTGCCTCCAAAAATAACAATGATAAGGATTTGAAGCTTGGAAGAACATATGGGAAAGAAGCAGGT